GCAGCCCGCCGCGCCTGCGCAAGCGCCCAACGGCCGCAACACCCCCGGGGCGCGAGCAGGCCGGTTGCCCAGGTCCTGGCGGATGGCTCCCGACCGCGGCCTCACTACAGTGTCTCCGCGCAAACTCTGCGGAGGTTAGTCCCTCCGCCACCCTGGCTCCGCCCCTGGCTCCGCCCCCTGCGGAAGGGGCGTTTTTACCGAGATGGGGTTCGGATCCTCGGCTTCTCTCCAAGGCCTTGCCTGCCCTGATCGTGCATGGCAATTTATTTATGCTCCGAAATCATCATTCTCTTTCCGCGCTTGCTTATTTCCTATAGCAGAATGAAAACGATTCTATTGGTTAATGGTCGCCTCTGATGGACCAGGTAAAAAGGACCTAAACTCCCAAAACCAAACTCACTGCCATCGAGGCCACTCTGACTCCCAGCGACCCCATCGGACAGGGTGGAACTGCCCCCGGTGAGTTTCCAAAACTATAAAAGTAGAATGTTTTCTTCTTTATAAAAGTAGAAAGCTTCATCTTACTCCTGCCAAGCCCGCTGGTGATTCTGAACTGCTGACCTTGTGGTTAGCAGCTCAGCATGTAACCTGTTTAGGCCGGTCGGAACTAGGCAGCCCTGTTTGGACTAAGCTGAAGCAGGTCCGGGCCCTGCACGTGCTTCCCTGCAAGTCCCAAAGGTCAGCAGCAGACGCGCCAGATAAGATAACCGCCAGGTAAGATAACCAGTGAAACCAGATGTTCCAGGTTGGGTTCAAAGAAAGCCACATGTAATTGCCATAATTGCCATAGATTCCTCACCACCCCTTTAAAAACCCTAGCCCCCAGCTGCTGAGCTCCGACTTCCCTGGCCTGTTGGCCTATGTCACGGAACCTGGTCTGGGAGCTCCCCACCCCTAATAAAGTTATTTCTGTTTCTGCTCTCCCTTGTCCTGTCAGTTATGTCTTTCTGTCTCCCTGTACCTCAGTTTCACCTTTACATAACCCACAATGCCACCAGGGATCCCAGAAAGAACACTGGTCCTTGAAAATGGCCACTCACTTTTAGAGTAGTCAAAATTCAAACTCACCGTCATCGGTTCGATTAACTCCTAGCGATCCTAAAGGACAGGGTAGGACTGCTCCTGTGGGTCCTGAGACCGACTCCTTACGAGAGTAGAAACCCTTCTTTCTCCTGGAGCTGCTGGTAGTTTTGAATTACTAACTTTGAGGTAAACAGCGCAACCCATAACCAGGATGCCTCAAGGGCTCCCTTTGGAGGCATTGCGGTACAAAAACTTGTATGAGAGTTCTAGTTCCTAAAAGAGGTGTCAAAAACTTTAAGTTTTCAGGCCTGATTTCTCTTCCTGGTAAATGGTGTATTACCTAAAAGTTGCAACTAGTTTATATCGTTTCCTTACCAGAATCAAAACTTACTTTTGTGTAGGACAACACCTAGAAAAGAGTAAGCATCCAAAAAGATTTATAGTGATAAATATTCATATTGTTTTTGTTGGTCCGGACATTTGTTTTGAGTAGTAAACAGCTTTGAAAGGGAACATATGACTAGTTTCATTTATAACTTTAATTGATACTGAATTCAAGTAACCTGATCTGAGCAGCTGGTGCTCACATTAAGGAGTGGGATTTTAATTACGCAGTGAAGACATGCAAGATGGCATGCTCTCGTTTTTCCCCAGCGCCAAGCACAACGTCAGTCGGGAAAGCTGTTGTTGTTACATAGACTATTAATAGCACTGCAGGGGTGTATGACATATCGAAAGCTCCCCTCCGCTCTTTTGATTCCCCAGCTTATCAGAACTAGGTTAAATGGGACACAATATATTCATGTAATAAACCGAAAATGCATTTGTCAAATATGTCTAAAGGAAGACAACATATATGAAAAATATCTACTACTGGTTTCAGTGCCACTATAAGGGCTAACAAGGTTGAAATGCCGGGCAAATTGTACCTGACTGTGCACCCCCATCCCTACTGCCACTGAGTCTATTCCAAGTTATAACCTCCCTCTAGGACAGAGCAGAACTGCCCCCACGGGGTCTCCAAGGCCACAGATATCTCTGAAAGCAGTGCGCCTCGGAGCTAGCTCTCTTAGGGAGCTGCTGGCGGATCCCACCCACAGTCTGGGTAGCAGCCTTTCTTGAACCATTGTGCCCCAGGCCTCCTGACTTGATTATTTTGACCTTCGGATTCAGAACCTCCTTTGGCAAGACAACAGGATTTGGAATAGTTTATGTTGCTGCTATTCTAATTAGAGTAAGATCATAAAATCCCCAACACAGTCTAGCATTAAATAGTGATAAGTTAAATGGCACCAAACTGACTACCGTCCACTTGGTCCCCACTGTTAGTGACACTGTGTAGAGTGAGGCTATTGGTCTCGACAAGAGCGCGGAGCGTAGCCTTCTCTTTTTCATGTGACCTAAATGGAGATATTTTGAGAACAGAGATCAAAGAATGCAAAATAAAAGGCAGAAAATCAGAGGCAGAGCAAAGGCAAGCAGAGGCGCCCGGAGGGCCTGGTGGGAGGTGACATGATAAATGGCTGGATCCATGAAGCCCGTGCAGATCTCTCCCCAGAAGATAAATAACACTTCTACGGAAAATCCCTCCACAAACACATACACACAGACAACCAAAAAGAACATCTGAACAGCGCCATCTAGTCCATTTCAACTTCTGGTGACACTACACGTGGTCAGGCGAGACCCTGGAAAAGGACATGGTGCTTGGGAAAGGATAGAGGGGCAACGAAAAGAGGAAGGCCCTCCACAAGATGGTTTGACACCGTGGCAACTACAGTGGGTTCAGACATAAGAACAATGATGAGAATGGCGCAGGACCTGGCAGTGGCAGTGTTTGGCTCTATTGTTCATCGGGTCCCGTGAGCCAGAGCAGACTCAATGGCATCCAACAACAATAGTGACACGACGTAGGGTTGCCAAGACTAAATCTTCTGGGAGCAGACAGACTCATCTTTCTCCTGCTGAGCAGCTGTAGGTTTGAACCCCTGACCTAGCAGTTAGTAGTCCAACCTCTAACCCACAGTACTACCAAGACTCCTCAGAGTTTCTCCTGGACCCTCAAGTGTTCGTAGCTTTTCAGTAGAGTGCTCTCTGGTTAAAATAAACATATAGCCCACACTAGATAGCTCGTTATGAAATCCATTCTGCACCAAAGGGAACGAACAGAGGGGTGGAAAGACCTGGTGGCAATGAGATGTGGTTGCTTAGGGGTTGGGGCTCAAGAGCAGGAAGAAGAGGCTGTCTGTTCGCATAAAGACTCCCAGTCTTGGAAACCCTACACAGGGTCACTATGCATCTCATCTAGTTAGGAATGGGTCTGGTTTTTGGATTAAGTGCTAGAGAAAGATGAGACTTTCTACTCTTGTGAGGAGCTATATAGTCTCGGACACCCACAGGGGCAGTTCTACCCTGTCCAACAGGGGTGCTAGGAGTCAGAATCGACTCAATGGCCGTGAGTTTGATCCTTTTGGCTGTCATGAAAGAAGTCCGAGACCTAAGGTTGAGAGGGAAGGACATGGGTGACTGTACACATTTCTAAGGATTTAGAACATACCTAGGCAATACTCCCAAACCAAATCCACTGCCATTAATCCAACTCTGACACATAGCGACTTCATAGCACAGAGTGGAGCTATACCTTTAGATTTCTGAAGCTATAAATCTTTACTGGAACAGAAAGATTCCTCTTTCTGCCCTAAAGGACTTTTTCAGACAAAAGACAAAAATGAAATCTCACTGCCATCGAATTGATTTTGACTCCTGGCAACCCTGTGGGACACAGTAGAACAACCCCTGTGGTTTCTAGATTGTAACTCTTTAAGAGGGTACAAAGCCCCATTTTTCTTCCTTAAAGCAGCTGGCGGTTTTTATACTGTTGAGTTTGCAGTTAGCAGCCCTAGGAATAACCATTATTCTACCGGGGCTCATTCAGACCATAGGTGGAAGAGAAGATCAGATTTTTGTTGTACAAGAGTCATTGACCGTTATGTGGAGGATTAATTGAAAACAGACGAGCTTGAGGCAAATTAAAGAGGTTCTACAAAGTCTAAGAATTCCAGAACCATTCCACAGGTAGGAGAGACCACAGTGCCGTCTGACGAATGTCTGCACTTGGAGAAGGGGGCGTGGTGGAGAAAAAAGGAAACGGAGGAAAATAACCGTTTGCCAGCGTCAACAGGTGGGTGGATGGTAAAGCCATTCAACAAAACAGGACCATGGGAGG